GTTTTTATTATCCTGTACCGTCTGCCAGATGGTAATAGTTCAAAAAAAAAAGTGCCCAGGATGAGATGGATTCTTGAGAATGTTTTGAACTTTCTTAAGGCAGCGGGAACTATAAAGCTTTTCCAAAGAGGGGAGAGAGCAACCAATAATCCTCTGGGCAATGATGTTGACCCTCTGAAACGCTGTCCTATCTGCCACTGTGCAAATGGCAAACTATACACAGACACAGTAAGTTAAAATACTCAGAAACCCTAGGAAATTTGTACTGTTTTCTTACAGGAGAATTAATCTAAAATTCTGATTGTGCCAACACTGTAATGTGTTTTTAGGGAGTTTAATTGTATATAGGAAAGACCTTGGGAGACTAGGCAAAGAGACACTGCCAAGGAAACGATCAAGTAAGAGTCAGCATAGCCCACAACCCTCATAGTGATTGGATGCTCAGAAGAGACCCTCCCTAGTTTCTTGGCCTGTAAATGAGGCAGATGGGGAGAGGGAAGAATTCTACTCAATGAAGCTTGGTAGCTCATCTAGTTGTGATTCCCATCTGTTTTATCTGGTGAAGCTGAGACTGTGACCTCAGGAATGGGATGGAGAAGCAACAGATGGGCCACTGACTTACTGCCCAACTGGAATATTATTCTGATATAGATCCTATCCAATCCCTTTCCTGGGTCATCAGGCAAGAAGAATAGTTGAACAAAGATCACTCATTATCAATTCAAATTGTCTTGTACTGTGTGCTTTGAGAAGGGAAATCAAATGTATTTATTCTTCTAACAAGATTACATTTATTCAACTGTATACCAAGCCAAAAGTATAATTTCAATTGATGTTTAATTTTTATTTATGAATCATTCATTTTATTTCCATAGTATGAAGGTGATATTCGAGTTCTCTACACTACTACCATATCTAACGCACCCTCCCTAAAGAAAAGAGGTTCCAAAGATTTGCAAGTCAAGCCGGGAGAACTGGTTGAGGTTATTCAGGATGTGGATGAAACTAAAGTGCTTTGTAGGAATGAAGAAGGAAAATGTAAGTACTAACACAGAATGGAAGAAAATAAGTGATGAAAAGCAGAAGTGGTCACCATGGCCATCCAAATATTGTTGAACTCCAACTTCCATTAGCCTTATTGCTTATGGCCAAACATAAGAAATGATGGGATTCATAATCCAGTAACAGTTAAAGGGCAATAAAAGTATACAGGATCTTTGTACATTTAAGACCACCATGGGCCATGCAGGCATTACTAGCAATAGCTCAAATGATTTTCAGATTAATTACAGAACGTAATTATTTTGAACACTGCTGAATGTTTTTTATTTAATAAATAATATGTCCTTACTAAGCTCCTATTGCTGTTTTTACATTGAGACTAATCTATTTATGATTAAAATAAACCCTTCCATTCTAAAAGAAAAAATTGGTTTCAGAGAATATTTATCTATGTCAGAGATGGCAAACCTTTTTGGTACTGAGAGCCCAAACCAGAACATGTGTATTGGAACGTGTTCCTGGTCTTTGGGTTTCCAGTGCATGCATGCACACCGGACAGCTGATCTTCGCAGGCACCAGAGTGCCTGAAATCCCAAAACCAGGTGGCTGGCCAGCTGGTCTTTGGGTTTCTGGCGCTCCAGCACTTGCAAAAACCAGCTGGCTGGGCTGCTGCGCATGCGCATGCCAGAAACCAGAAAAGCAGCTGGCAATGGCGCACATGTCCACAGAGAGGGCTCTGTGTGCCACCTCTGGCACACGTGCCATAGATTTGCCATCACTGATCTTTGTATATCTGGAGGGAAGGGGTGAGTTCATATCAGTGGTGGGATTCAGCCAGTTCTCACCTATTCGGGAGAACCAGTTGTTAACTTTGTAAGCAGTTCGGAAAACCGATTGTTGGAAGAAATCTCCTTTTGTTTTTTTCCCCACTTTACAGGGCTAATCCTGTAAGGAAGGCAGGAAGGAAACATTCTGGTGTTGTTTCTAGCCTCATCTTTATTGCCCTGATTACATAAACTGCCTCCCCAGTTAACCCTGATTACATTGTCAAGGCTGAGGCAAAGCGCCCATCGACCTGAGTGACATTGAATTGGCCAATCCCACTTGGTCACATGACCACTGAGCCACGCCTACCCAGCTGGTCATTAGGGCAGAGAACCAGTTGGTAAATTATTTGAATCCCACCACTGGTTCGTATGTCACACTAAGCCACAGTTTATTTAACCAAGTATTGTTCATTAAACTCCAGTTGGATAGTTGTATTGTAACTATTAACCAAGCTTTATAACCTACATTGATTCAATGCCCAGGGCCAAGGCAAACACATCCTATTATTAATTTAGTGTCATTCATGAATCTAGATATTTATGTGGTTCTTAGCTACAAATTTGGGGAATTGCTAGGTTCGTGGCCAACACCAGCCTGAATACAATTTTGAATGCTGTGCTAGCAGTAATAGCTGTTTTGTGCTGGAAAAAAGAAATTTGCCTGTGTATGTGTGTGCACAATCCTCTGAGCTGAACGTTAGAGTTTGCAAAGCCAGTTATAAGAGAAAGTAGATTTATTTCAAGCAATTTCAAAGTGTGACTGATGGTACTTATACAGTGGGCCGTCCGTGTGACTTTAAGCAGAACATTTGCTGGACAGAGACTTTTTTGTTTCCATTACTATGTCAAGTAGAAGATTTACAGGAACAAGGGAAAAAAAAATAGAACTACTGTATTTACAGTAGTTTGTTCAAACTTCTCAGTACAAAGTTTCTTCCTCCTTCCTGTCTCTCTAAAGGCTGTAACTGTATCTACTTCTTTCCCAGAGCTATTTGCTAGTGGCCGTCCATTCCACTGTTTAGTTACTATCTCCCTCAGCTCCTCCCAATTTGGGGCTTCCTCCAGGTCCCCACATGTCCTTTGCAGGCAGCTACCTCTCGCTATCCCCATTGGTCTTAGGCAGGGGTGGGCTCCTGGGGGTTTGCAGGGATTCAGGAGAACCTCTAGCTAAGATTCTATGCAGTTCGGAGAACCCCCAAATCCCACTCCTGACTGGACCCCCACTCCACACTTCCCAGGAGTCCCCACGTGGCCCGTTTTGGATGCAGGTAAGTGTAGGGCACACGCGGAGGCTCGGGGAAGGTGAAAAATGGGCCTACTGGAAGTTTGGGAAGGCCCATTTCTGGCCTCCAGAGGGCCTTCGAAACCTGGGCAGGTCGTTTTTGCCCTCCCGGAGGCTCGAAGAAAGTCTCCAGAGCCCAGGGAGACCAAAAATGCCCCACCACCACCATGGTGCAGGAGGCTGACTAGGCCATGCCCACCCTGGCCACACCCACCCAGCAACTGGGCAGAGAACCCCTTGCTAAAATTTTTGAACTCCAACCCTGGTCTTAGAGTTTGATAAAACACACCGCTTTGTCCAGGTTTTGGCTTCTCTTTTCCCAATCAACATTTTTACCCCTCTCTCCCAGAACCCTCCCAGTGATGTCACATTCCAGCCGCCAGCTTCCCATATGATCTCTCCAAAGGTTCTCTCTCTCTCTCTCTTGATGCCTGAAAACAATGCAGCTTCAAACATGGCAATACATTCCTCCACAACTAAGAAGATCAGGTCTTTAGATTGCCCCACTTTCAACACTAAGCTTGGCCAATAAAAATACTACCTCCACTTGCCTCTTAAGAGTCCTGGTTATCAGTAAGGCAGCTCATCTGTTCCCATGAGAGCACAGCTGCATCTCAAGGCCATACCTAAACTTCTCCCCATCGTTCTTTCTCTTTCTTTCTTTCTTTCTTTCTTTCTTTCTTTCTTTCTTTCTTTCTTTCTTCTTCTTTCTTCTTTCTTTCTTCTTTCTCCTTCTTTCCTTCTTTTTCTTTCTTTCTATCTCTCTTTCTCACTTTATTTTTTTCTGTCCAAAAATCCCATATTCCACAGCCAATATATGATAAAGAGGAGAGGTTCTTGCTGCTCTCTGAGCTTGGTTTTTTTAAAACAGATGTTTCATTACCCAAAGTAGGTAATATCATCAGTTCTAGTAAGAAGTGGGGTTTGCTCTCAGTTTATATTCTAGTGCAGGGGTGTCAAACTCATGTTGTCATGGCAGTGTCACATGATGTATCGGGACTTTTTCCCCCTTGGCTGAACCAGGTGTGGGAGTGGCCAGTGCATCCAGCTTGTGGGCTTGGAGTTTGACAGCCCTGTTCTAGTTGCTTGCCCTGTCTGTGTTGGTGGGGGTAGTCTTGGAGATTCTTTGGTAGAGCATTTACTACCTGTGTTTCCCCAAAAATAAGACAGGGTCTTATTTTCTTTTGACCCCCAAAATAAGTGCTTGGCCTTATTTGTGGGGAGGTCTTATTATTTTCAAGGTACAGGAGGCGGCGAGCATGGTCACCTCATGGCTGCTGCTGTATTGCAACATTTTTGGGGAGGGCTTATTTTAGTGCATGCACTCAAAAGCCCGATTAGGCTTATTATCCGGGGAGGTCTTATTTTCAGGAGTATTAGATTGTTTGGCAATTCCTTGATTGGGGTTTACTTTTGTTGTTGTCTACTTTTTGATTGTTGGTCAGATGTTAATCATGGAGTTCATCTATGCTCATCTGGATGTTGATTGTTGGTGGGGACATATTTTGGTCTTTCTGTTCCAATTTTGGTTTGTTGGTTGTCTCTTTTGCACAGTATGTAGATGCTGTTTATTTCTATGTGTCTAGCTTTCATGCATTCATGCTTTGGAACAAGGGCAGAAGGAAGACCCTGAGATTAGCAGCCTCAAAAAGCAAAAGTTTGAGTAAAGTGAAATACAAGGGAACATTGAGTGAATCCCTAACTCCCTGTTTACATTCCAACACCCCATGTGGTCAGAAGGAATTGAAGAGCCAGTGCCACTAAGTTATACACTTTCAGTATAGTAACAGTAACAGTATAACAGAGTTGTAAGGAACATTGGAGGTCTTCTACTCCAACCCCTTATTCAAGCAGGAGACCCTACATCATTCTGGATAAATAGCTGTCCAGGCTTTTCATAAAGACCTCCAGTGATAGAGCACCCAACATTTCTGGAATATTGTGCTGCTTGAGTAATATCAAGAATTTAAAAATCAATAAACATACTTGAACAATGTTAATGAATGCACTCAAGGCAAATCTCCAGAACTCTGACTTGTCCTAGTAAAAAGAAAATAATAATGAGGCTGAACAAAGTTAGATGCATAAAGGTTTACAGATAGTTCTGAATGAATGAAGCCTCTAGGGAAGGAGTGTCAAACTAGCGTCATCACGTCATCATCACATGACATATCCCAAATTTTCCCCTTCGCTATACCAGGGATGGGCATGGCCCACCCGTGACCATCTGGCCCACGGGCTACAAGTTTGACACTCCTTCGTCTAGGGGAAAACAAAGCAGGTGTTGTGGCCCACCATCAGCCAGCAGAGCTGGCATCCGATTCAGACAGTGAAGAGGTTGGGGAGGAATATGGGCTAGTCCTGGAGTCTGGGGAAGGCTCTGATGAGGGCTCTGTGTCAGAGGCAGAGAGGGGGCCAGAGCCATATGCCAGTTATCAGCTGCCTTCAGAGGCAGACATCAATGAGGCAGACAAACAGCTGGAGCCTGTTCCCATTGTGTGCATGCGCAGAGTTGCCAGACGAAGGGAGCAGCTAAAGAACAGGGGTCAACTTGGGAGTAAGGCCACAGGTTGACGATGAATGGCCCCTGCCAGAGGAAATAAAAGGGGAGAGAAAGGGGAGTGGAGTTTGCAGGAGACAATTAGTTTGCTTAATTGGTTCATGACTCTCCGAGACTCCTTGCCAAGTTTTGCAGATATCGGCCTGTCAGCTCTCCAAGCCAGATAAGGTCTGTGACTGNGTCCTTCTTTTCATTAAACTAGACATACCCAGTTCCTGCAACCGTTCTTCATATGTTTTAGCCTCCAGTCCCCTAATCATCTTTGTTGCTATTCTCTGTATTCTTTCTAGGGTCTCCACATCTTTTTGACATTGGGGCGACCAAAACTGCATGCAGTATTCCAAGTGTCTTTTTAATTTTCTTTTTG